TTTTTTTTTTTTTTTTTTTTTTTTTTTTTTAAAACGACAACCTGCACACTGGAAGAAACGTAGTACAATTTGTACATTCTCTGAGTTAGTGAGAGGTCTTTCCTCATCCCTAACAACGAATTCGATGGCGCAATACTCAGTAGCTGTGAATGCATGGCAATTAAATAACTGTTCAGGATTCGCATTGCGCAGGCCTGTGAAGTTTGAACCGAGGACAAAAAAAAAGGTCCGATGACTCTCTTTGTCTGCAGAAGAATCTACGGACCCGGCTGCTGTGGCCAAGTTGCCAAACCACCCCTCAAAGCTCAGCATTTTCTTGAATCTATATACCCCTCTGAGCTGTAGCCAACTTGCCAAGCCACCCCTCAAAGCTCAGCATTTGAAAGTAAGTCCTCCTCCCACATCACAGCACGAACAGGCAGGGGAGTGCATCAAGCACTTGGGCAGCCCCAAACTACATCGACATACCCCTCTGAGCTGTAGCCAAGTTGCCAAGCCACCCCTCAAAGCTCAGCATTTGTAAGTAAGCCCTCCTCCTCCTCCCACATCAAAGCACGAACAGGCGGGGGAGTAACACCAAGCACTTGGGCAGCCGTAAGCTGAATCTACATACCCGTCTGAGCTTTGGCCTAGTTGCCAAATTAGCCCTTTAAAGTGCCAAAAAAAAGAAAAAAGAAAAAAGCCGTCTAAAGTGCAGTAATATTTTCAATTGAGTCCTTCTCTGAGGACTTCAATTGAGTCCTTCTCATATCAAAGTACAAACAGACACGGGGACTCGGGGAGTACAGCACAAGATATGCACATAGGTGTTGATTCGATCTGATCAGCGCAGTTCGGATTTCGCGCTATGAGAACTGCGTGGGTCATATCGCATCTGCCATCAATTCCCAGTCGGAATTCTGCTGATGGGCTAGTGTCTTCACGCGAATAGAATGCCCGGTCGTTATAGCCGCATTTGAGGCAACTTTCGGTCCAGGTGCAGCAGCCATAATGACCGGGCATTCTATTCGGGTGAAGAAGGTAGCTGCTCTGCCATGGTATATCATGTTCCTTTTGATTTACCAGAAGCGGAACCTGAGTTAGTTGCAGGCCGTAACGTAGAATATTCTTCAATGGGTTTCGCTCTTTTTTTTTTGTTTTTTAGGGGAGTATGCTAATATGATATTAATGAGTAAGTTTATGTACCTTTTTTTTTTTTTTTTTTTTTTTTTGGGGGGGGGGGGGGGGGGGTGAGTGGGGGGGGAGTTGGTTGGATGCCCATCATGAAAGTGGCTGTTTTTTTTATTGGATTCCGGCCTCTATTTGGTTCGGTATGAAGGCCGAAGGCGTTCTGTTTTTATATATTTGGGCTGGTGCAGTGGAGCTATTTACCATTCAACGCCGCCACCGGAGAGCCTTGCATGAGAGCGAGGCAGCATGCATGGCTGTCTTTGTTGATGCGGTTGTCGTGATTGAAGTCCTTGTCTGTTCGATCTGCTTGGTTCCTACGTTGTATGTGTTGTCGGAAATGAAATCATCTTTGTTCAGTTTGTTGATATTTTCTTCATTACTCTCTTCTCCCTCATGAAGACTGTCGATGAGTTACATGCATTACACGTTTTCATCGATTGGCTTTGTTCTCCTTTGTTTTCTGTTTTTTCAGGTGTCGAAAAGGGATCTAATCAACCTAACAAGGACAAGGTGGGTAAGGTGACATCAGCACAAATCCTCGAAATCGCAAAGGAGAAGCTGCCAGACTTGAACTGTACAAGTCTTGATTCGGCACAGAGGATCATCCGGGGAACTGCACGCAACATGGGCATTGATGTTCTGGAAGCCGTGTGAAAAGGGGTGTGGGGACCACCTAACTTCAGCCACCGCTACCCTTCACGACCGCCCTAGTTACTTGGGGGAGGCCTCCCCTTTTCCGGTTGATCTGTTGGTTTGATGATCCGACGAGCACAGGTTTGCAGGGGCTGGCTCGATGTTTTTGCGTGTGGTAGTGGAACCCCCCGGTTGAACAGTACCGTGGAGAGCATGATTGTGGAAACAAAAGTGTTGATGACAACAGTTGAAGTTGTCACACAGTGAAGATATAGTACACCCCATCCGGTCCGTCCTTTTGCCCTATTGCGACGTTTGGTCCCGTTGTACACACACACACACAGGGAGCATGTTCCACTCAACTTGAACGGATGCATTGAACGGCTGGATCTCAAATCTACCCATGTATTGAATGGCTGGATTTCGCCTTCAGTCACATCACTTGTGGCTTGTTGGAAGCTCAGTCATGCATCAGATCAGGCGGTGACTGGCTCGAATCTGAGGTCCATCTTCGCTGGATTGAGTTTCGCCATGCGCAGGATGAAAGCGTGAGTCGGGAGAAGTCCGGAAAGCCAGCTGCAGTGCAGCAGGTGGCTGACGTCATAGATTTTTTTTTGATGCTCGGTTATCTCCTCCCTCTTCCGGGAAGAATGCCGAAGGAGAGACGCCTTCAAAAGCCATTTCTACTTTCGACTCTTGATGACATGTATCATTTCCTTTCCGGTTTTCTTTTGCGGTGAGAAGTTTTTGTGGCTTCTGTGTTGTGGCATTGATGCATTTGTCACTCTTGCTTCTTCGTTTTGTGAATTGGTTATTTATTCGAAGTTATTTCCTCCTGTTATCTGTCGTATTTATTTTTCCTTTTGCTTCTTTTGGATTCGTTTGTCTTCTCTATACACGATCTCCACCATTATAAAAATTGCTAATGTAAGAAAAACTCAAATCCGTGCCGTTTGCAATCCGTCGTACGAGACACAAGTCCTGTATCATTGCACGAAAGTAAGAAATTTTGGATGCGGGATGTCAGCGTCCTACCAGGCGAGTGGCCGAACGGCCCGGATCGTCACGGGATCTTAGAATCCTAGGGTTGTGCTTCTATCCGAGCCGTCGTCAGCCAGGTCCTATCAAGCAAACAGCCCTGATGGTCTTGCGATCTTGAAAAGCGAAGATTGTGCGCCGATCGGGGCTATTTGTTGGATCCCAACTAGCTTACAGTTGTTTGTCGGGCCCCCTACCACCAAGCCGATGATGCTTTAGCTGGTCTTTTCGGATGATCAGCCACACTGGGACTGAGACACGGCCCAGACTCCTACGGCAGGCAGCAGTGGGGAATCTTGGACAATGGGCTGAGTAAAGGTCTGAATGGCACTCTTAAAAAGTGTGCACAGCCTCCATCCACAGCATGGAGCTGATGAAAACAATGTCGCTTTTGATCCCCTCCCCTATCCCGCCCTTCTTGCTCCTTTCTGTCCCCCTATCCGTCTGCCGCTATCATCCCTACCCTTGTCCCCCCTACTTCCAAGCAGGTGGGGGAGAGAGAGAGAGAGAGAGAGAGAGAGAGAGAGAGAGAGAGAGAGAGAGAGAGAGAGAGAGAGAGAGAGAGAGAGAGAAACCCTGCCACGCCATCTTGAAGAACCATCTGCCTGCTGCCGTCCAAGAAAGAAATTTTCTACTGTAGAAAGAAAAAAAGTGGTTCCAGCATAACCCTCATGCCTCCATATGCCTTGTTGCTTTTTTGTGCTCTTTTCTGGATCCAAAGAAAGTTCTGTCGGTGCATGACCAACTTTCATAAATATTGGGCAATGAATGCTTGTCCAGCATAACCCTCATGCCTCCATTTATGCCTTGTTGCTCCTGTGCAGAACTGAATGGTTGTCCACTTCATTGAAAACGGAAGTACTCTTGCTTCATTCGCAAGGATCCAAGTTTTAGTTAAGTCCGGTGATGCGCACGCGCATGCAGGCGTGCAGAACTCCAATTATTAGGGTTGTTGCGCACGGGAAGCGGCGCACTCCAATAATTTGGGTTGATTAAAAAAAATCGGAAAGGGCAGGCTGTGGTAGCCAAATGTGCCCCTCCCTTCCATGGTAACCCCGGACTGTCCGGTGATCCGGACATTACTGGATACCCGGACATTGCCGGACGCGGGCAGTCCGGACTGGTGCCAGGGGTGCGCAAATGACCGGAAAAAAAAAAAAGGGGAGGGGGGGGGGGGGGGGGGGGGGGCGGGGGTGTTGGCATGCACTTACCTGCTTTGAACTTTGTAGTTCAGGCAGCAGAGCACGTGTCTTGCAGAAAATCAACAAGCACATTTAACTAGCAGACATGCAGAGTTGCAAACAGTGCAAAGCAGGCACAAGACTAAAGAGAGACATAATTTTTTTTTGAAAGAAGTATGATTAACTTTGAACGTTGAACTTTGGATTTAGTCATTTAACTTGATTTAAGTTCATATATATAACTTAAAACTTAAAAAGTTCAAACTTTGCAGTTCAATTCAGAACGTCAGAGTCTTCAGACTGGCAGCACTGTCAGTTCTCCCCCCACGCCCTCTCTCTCTCTCTCTCTCTCTCTCTCTCTCTCTCTCTCTCTCTCTCTCTCTCTCTCTCTCCAACGGGCAGCAACGGTGGGCGCCACGTTGAAACTGCCGCTTTGAAATTGCTAGGGCCTGTGTGAAACCTGCCTGCAGTGTCTTGTGTCTGGACCTCGAGGCCCTGTCCGGTGGGGTGAAACGACACTGAAAAATCACCCCGTTATTTTTCGGGGTGCGGCCAGGACCCGATCCGGACATCCAGACGGTTACCATGCTCCCTTCTGAAAATTGTACGTGCACAGACAAAAATAAAAAATAAAAAAAATTGAGGCCATATCGTACTCCTCATTGTATCCAGTCTCTTTTCTAAAGGGTCCCCAGCAAAGAAACAGCAAGGATCCCTTTTTCAGTAAGACGCTTCATCAAAATTCGAGTTTGGCATGACCAGGCCACCAATATATGCTCCGGATCGGAATTCAGGTTTGTGGTCCAGCAGTTATGGGTTACTACTACTTACTACAGTAGCACTATCTTCTTTTTGTTTTCCTCTTCTTACGTGCAGTGGCCCAAAGGGCCTCACTCCACTCGTCATCACTTGCACAAAAGACGAAACATATGGCGGCATATGGTTCCATGTTCTAGCATAACAAAGATTCATTCTAGTTTTGCACATTCGGTGAGTAGTGGAGGGAAGCCCTGAAAATCACGTGCTGCGTTAGTAAGTTGGTAACCCAAGTCGGTAACCCAAGTTGGTAACCCAAGTTGGTAGCCTGCTGCTTCCCTACCATAGCCCGACGCCTACCTCTTTCTTGGCAAGGGAACCCCTGCTAATTATCTGCAGGGGCCTTTCGCATTACTCGGAGGAGTTTTATGATTTATGTGAAAGGGCTCTCTCTCTCTCTCTCTCTCTCTCTCTCTCTCTCTCTCTCTCTCTCTCTCTCTCTCTCTCTCTCTCTCTCTCTCTCTCTCTACATACTCTTATTCTACTTTTGTCTGGAGCTGCTGTAACTTGGGCTCATCATGCCCATATTATTTATTGTGTGGGAGTTTGC